GTTGTTCCTCAGAAACAGGTTGAGAGTGCTCAGAGATTCAAGCATTTGATTCCTATAACCAAGAGAGAAGAAAGCTTGGCTACTGCTCCATCTGGCAGAAGATTTTGGCATCATCTATGTGGTGCTCGCTTTAGATACTTGCTGAATGCAAGAGTTCTGAGGTTGAGAAGGTTTCCACCTAGATTTCAGAAGGCCTTGGAGTCCAGGCAGTGTGCCCTTGAGAGGGCAGTGTGTGAAGGTGTGAATATGAAGTCAAAGGTTCAGTGGAGATCTCAGAAGTTTGGAAAAACCAGGGAAGTGGATCATCTAAGTAAAATTGCAAGCAGGGTGCAAAGCAGGCCTAAGAAAGAAGCCATGTGAGGCACAGACACCAGAAATAGCATAGAGGTGGAGTCACATGGAGCTCACAATTTGCCACCAATTGCCTTGGATGTTGATTGTGGAACTACAGGACTTAAGGATTGTCCTGTTGGATTTTGGACTTGCTTTGGTCCCATTGCTTTGTATCCTAATGTTTGTACCTTTTGCAATGGTAAAATTTTTCTTGTGTCATTGAATTATGAACGTGTTTAACTTTTCATTTGTACAGGGGCTCACAGCTAAGAGTTTGCCTTAGATCTTGGAGGAGACTTGGTCTTACACTTTTCAGCAATGCTGAAACTGTTAGGACTTTGGCAACTCTTAGAGATGGACTCAAATGCCTGTTGCATAAAGGGATGTACACGAGTCCTTGGGGGTTAAGGGTTGGAATGTTATGGTTTGTGTCTAAACGTTCCCCCCCCCTCAAGGCCTCATGCAATCATGGACAAGCTTCTACAGTTTACGATTGACTCATGGTCTAACACTTGGATTATAGGTGTGAGTTCTATACCTATCCTGGGCCAGGTAGCCTGCATACAATATAAGGGAGGAAAAGAGACTTGCTCTTGCTTCTCCTTCCTTTTTGCTTTTACTGTTTTTGCTGTCTTTTTGCCACCATGAGCTGTTGTCCTCAGCCATATACCACTCTGTCTTGGAGCCAGCTGAATATGGAGTGAAACCTCCGCAAACTCTGAGCTAAATAAACCTTTTCTTCCTTAATTCTGAGCATCAGGTATTTTGTCTTAGCAATGAGAGAAAAGTAGTTCAGACATCCCTGTTCAGGAAAATTTGCTTAAGGAATTAGATCCCTAGGATTCATTCTACTGTGCTCAGTGATTGAGCACTCACTCGGAGGCCAGTGTAGTAAAGACCTATGATGTCCCTGATACTACCCATACTGGCAGCTGACTTTGCTGATGCTGGTTTTACTGCCATGTGGGAGGCCTCCATCCAGATTTCAAAGAAAGGTCTTATAGGCCAAGCAAAAAGCCCTTAATAGGGCAAGGCATGAAGCTGTTGAAATAAAGTCAAAGGTGTAATGGGGATCCCAGGAAAGCAGTGATGACAGAAATGTTGAAAGTTGGCTGAGAAAAACTTCTTGACATGAGTGAAGCCATCCCAAGAGAGAAGTCATGTGTGTTGAAACCAGAAAAGATATAGGGATGAGGCTTCCCAAGTTCTTTGGAACTCTTATCATCAGATTTCCAAGATCTGAGGTATGGAACTACAGCTACTTAATGTTTGCTTGGCTGAGTTTCAGTCCTACTTAGGTCTGATTCTTTCTATTCCCCTATTTTTCTCTTTCAGTGTGAGATTGTTCACCCTGTTTCCTTGTACCGTAGGATTTTATGACTTGTTCTTTATTATTATTATTTATTTTAGTGGGGGGTAGAACTGGGGGTTGAACTCAGGCCCTTGAGCTTGTCAGAGAAGCGCTTATTCCACTGAGCCATCTCCCTGGCCCCTGTTCTTTATTGTTATAGGGGTTCCCAACTAACAGTTTGCCATGAATCTAGGGGCGACTTTGGATGTGGAGTTTTTAGTAATGCTGGGATTGTTGAGACTTTGGGGAAGGGATTATTGTGTTCCAGTTGTATGAAGAGGTGACTATTAATCATGATCCATCAACTGGATTGGATTAAGAGATGGCTGCAGGATTAATAAAGCACACTTTCGGGTATATCTTGGTGGGTCATGAAGGCATGACTTTGGATATTATATGTGGTCATTGGTCTCTTCCTCTTTAGTGCTATTCCCCTGATATACTTCCTGACTGACATGAACTAAGTACCTTTGTTCTACCATGACCTTCCACAATGATGTTTCCATCTTGAAGGCAAATGACCATAGACTGAATGCCCTGAAAAGAATGTCCAATTTAAACCTCTCCTCCTATAAGTTGTCACTGCTGGGTACTGTGCACCAGTGATAGGAAAGCTAAATTTTATCCTGGGGACATTGTATAATGTTAGATGGAATTTATGATCTTCATTTATTTTGGAGATTATAGTTTAAAACCTCCTACTGACAAGGGATTGTAGGTAATACTTAAGGTGGATTGTCAATATGATTGGCCTGGAGCCAGCTCTGGGATTAGTAATGCATATTTCTGGGTGTGTCATGGTAGATCATGCAAGAACAACCCTGGAGTATATATATAGTCCCTCCCTCACTCCTGTCTAACACTGATCCTTGTTGTATTTGCCATACTGAACTAAACAGATTTGTGCTACAATGTCCCTCTACCATCTTTCTCTTATGGAGACAGCTAATCATGGGGTAAATTCTCTAAAGCCATGAGAAAAAAAAAACAAAGCCTTCCCCCATTAAGTTATGTCTGGAAATAAGCAAACTAAATAATTCACTATTTAAACAGCATAGCTTATTATTAACAAATGAATGACTAATGAAAATGTGGTATATATACACAGTGTAAATATTCAGTCATATAGAAGAACAAAATCATATCATATGCTGGAAAGTGGATACAACTGGAACCTATCTTGCTAAATGAAATAAGCCAGATTCACAAAGTTAAATATGACTTGTCCTATCTTATATGAACAATCTTAAAAGTTAAAAGTAAAGGAGATGAAAGGTAGCTGTAAGGAGGATGTTTAGAGATGATAAAGCAGAAAGATGAAGGGGGAGGAAAGGGAGAAAAGAGTAATGGAGAAGAAAATAATCCAAATGTATGTGTATATCAATAAACTAAAACAAATCTCATCATTCTGTTTTACTAATATGAACCAAAATGTCCTTACATACACTTGAATATTAGTCATCCATAAAAATAAATTAAGTACTGATTCCAGCTATAACACACACCAAAGAACCTGGACACAAAAGGCCACATATTGTATGATTCTATTTCTATGAAATGTCTAGAATAGGTAAATCCACAGAAACAGAAAGTAGATTAGGGGTTGCCTTGTTCCAGGCATGTTAATAAGGATGGACAGCAAATAGACAAAGAAGATGGCATTGAGATACTGGAAATGTCTAGCAGGGGTTTTAGGAATGGTTGCACCACTTGGTAAATTTACTAAACATCCTTGTGGTGCACTCTTAAAACACGATCATTTTATGATGTATAACTGCTATCTCAATTTAAAAAAATTTGAACCAAAGGCCCAAAGGGGAAAAAAAAGAGAAATCTCCTCCCCTTGATAATTTTTAGGGGTCATACAGAGGTCATTAGTCTGTTGGCTGATGTTATGGCAGTGGTGGCGGTAAGGGCTGAGAGTCAGGCAATTATTTGGTATTTTAAAGTAAAAATTAACACAAAGATTGCTGGCTTGAAACTTGGAGTAGTGGGAGCTGAGGACTGGATGATATTTTAAAATATTCAGGATGTGGAAGTGATAGGACTTTATACTACTTAGATACAGGGAGGGGTGGAGAGTGAAGACACCTTCTACTGACCATGCCTAAGGTTGCACTCCTATTGTCCACCCAAACATGTGGCGCTCCACTGTGCTCTCCATTGCAATGAGAGGACCAGCATCATGGCACAGACAAGGCATTCACTGATTGTCATTAGAGTGAAAAAGTATGAGGAAGAGAACAATGATAGATGAACAGGTTATAAAACATGGCTAAACAAAGCAGCCACCAGATCCTGCCAAACAACCAGTCCTAAACTCACCCCTAAAGGTCTGTTCAACAGATGTCCAGCACAATTTCCCTCAGACTACTTGAGAAATCATCAGGTCCCTCCCTCATCCCGAAACACCCATGTTTATGTCAGGTACGCCTTGCCTAGAACCTGCAAGTGTGGCACAGGCTGGGCTTCCCACCTCTAATCCTGAAAATCAACACAGGACAATGACAGGCTCATAAACAGCACAAATGATCATGGAAGATATTTAGTGTTACAGAAAGAGGGTGATGACATTGCCCAACTGGTGTATCTATGTTCAGTTTGTCTCCAGGCAGGAAGAGACTCGTACCACCAAAGAGGTTACTGATCATACCCCCACCCCACCTAATCTCTGGCAGGCAGAAAACAGCTGACAGGAACACCTTAGAGATTCAGTGAACAGTTTGGATAGTTCACTACTGTTCTCTGTGTTGGCAGGCAGAGATACCAAGCTACTTGTGGCTCCTGATACAGACATCAAAGCAGTATGTCCCAGCTCACACATCCAAGAAATAAAAAAAACTCGGAGAGGTGCACTAAAGAAGGCCCCAGACTCTAGCACTGCAATGAAAATCCCAAGTTATACTAGAGAAGTGAAATTTGCAATGCAGAACAGAAATCTGGCTGTGTGAGCAGTAATGTTAGGGGTGGAGGCATTTCATGAAGTATAATTTTTAACCCTGGTTTAGACTGTATCATAAAATAAAAATTATTTTCAATAATAAAAATTCAAGCTATTTCTGTTTCTTTTCCTGGAAGAGCTGTTAGGCTACAGGAACAGTAATAAGAGTCCCTTTTCTGGGCACGAAGCCTAGGACTCAAAGGGAGTCTCTAGAGAACATCTGGTCATATTGATATATAGATGCCAACACTGTGTGTGTGTGTGTGTGTGTGTGTGTGTGTGTGTGTGTGTGTGTGCTCATGTGTTTCTACTCTGCTGACTCATGGCATTCAAGCCTCTCTGGAAACACCCCCACCCTTGTAGCCAGTCAGCTCATACACACCCCTTGGGCTCCTCCTTGATTCAAATGTTAGGTCAAGAGGAAGAAGAAAAACAAATTCAAGAGCTGCTCTTAAGCGTCTAGAAATTCTGCACCCCACCTCTCAACAGGAAAGATTAGACCCTGATTTGACTTAGTCCACTACAAGCTAAATTGCCCTCTTAAAGTGCCAACATTCCTTCAACCTTTGGATACAACTGGAAGAAGAATCCATGGTATTGTAGCTTCTGCTCGAGGCAGGGGTCTGAAAACCAGCAGCAAAAACGGAAAGATGGCGAGCCCAAGACCCAGAACTCCAGAAGACCCTGAAATTGAGCTTTTTGTGAAGGTAAGTTTCCTAGCTGTAATAACAACATACAGTGTATATTACTTCTTCACACTGTACTTCAAGAGTCTAAAAATTTCTCAGTATTTGGGACTGTTCATGAAGAAAGAATTCTGTAATTATTTTCTTAGTCTGAGTCTGAGAAGAATGCTTGGGTGTTTGGTTACTTCTAGATAACAAGAGGAAGTCAGATGATATCTGAAAAAAGGCAAAATGATAGTGTGAAAGACAGATTGATAGGTAAATGGTTAGATTTTATTTTCAGTAGCTTCCTGTGAATACTCGGGAAATCCCCTCCCTCCAGAGCATTGTTTCTCCACCTATACAATGAAGAACCTGACAAAATGACCCTAAATGGGCTTCCCAGATCTCACAATCTGAATGTGATAGATTTTTGCAAAACCTAAATGGGTAGAGAAGGCAAAGAATGGCTCAAGAACCATGTGCCCTTACAGTCCAGACAGAAATATTTAAAGTTCTCCCAAAGGAAAAACATTGGAGCAGGGTCATATGTTTTTTGTGAGAGAGAAAAAAGCGAGTCTGTATGCTATTATACAAGGAAGAAGCATTTTAGAATGCTGTGCTTCCTCTTTTCAGCGTGCCCTGAAGTTTTGTTTTTGTTTTTTTGGTTTTTTTTTAATATGTCTTAACTTTTCAGAAAAGCACTTTGGAAAACCCCTAAAACAGGAGAAAGAAACATGTTAACTGATCAAGAGAAAAATTTCTGTAGGTTTACTCCAAGTAAAAGATAATTTCCTAAACTTTTTCTTACACTGTTTAGTTTTTCCATATATTTTGATTGACCATTAGAAACATTCAGGATAATACAATAATAATATGAAAAAGAAATTCTTATGTTGTATCTGATCCTTTTTAAAACCCTTTAAAATACTTTACTCATATTACCTCCTTTAAACTCACATCAACTTAGGAGATAGGCTACTATGAATTATAGACATAGTAGTATCATCATCAGTAGCAGTGACAGTAGCAGTTACTACTAGACAAAAAATTTTAAGTTGTTACACTATTGTAATATTGTCCTCATCACTTCTAGATAAGTATAGTAAAACAATGAAGTTTAAGTAATTTTCATAAAACTATATACCTTCCTCATGACTTTTCAAAGACATAAAATACAGTATAATTTTCAAATGTTAAGTTAAGCATCTATTGGCTATAGAAATAATGTTACAACCATTTTTTAAGATTACTTAACAACTGGTTACATAGCAACACCAAGGATGTCATCAACTTGTTTTTTAAAATCATAACAGAGAAAAACTCGAATTCCTCTATAACTAGGGAATCCAAATAAGTGTTTGCTGGGCTCTGGGATATAAGAATTACTTGTCCTATCTCTAGATTAGAGTAAAACATGTGACTGCTCAAATAATATAAAAATTAGCCTTAATTTGCTAATTAAACTTTCACACTTACCAGTTCCAAACAATAGGTAGTGTTTCTTCATAAGGTACCCAAAGTGTTTCTTTTGTCCGAATTTTGTTCATTCAATTCAATCAGACTTCTCAAGTCAGTTGTTGGCATTGATAAGTATGTTTGTCTTCATAGACTTCCTAGGTTTGGAAGGGAACATGGATGAGAGAGGTTACCAAATCATACCTCGGATAAACAAATGCTGATTTGAACAATAATGCTCAGTTTAAACTAAACTACCCCATCATTTACTGAGTGTTTATTACAGGGTAAGTAATATAGTAAGTAGTGTATTACTAGCCCAATTTTATGGATACAGAATTTAAAGGAAAAAGAAGCCAAGTAACTTTGCCCAATATCATATAACTAATAGGAGAGTTAGAATTTCAGTCCTTTAAAATGGCTATGTCTGATCTGACTGAACTGTTTTCAAATGGACAAATTAGTAAAATTTTCCAGAATTTCATCAGGTGGGATGTTTTAAGTGTAAGCTTATTTAATTATTTAATAATATTAAAACAAATTACAGATTTTTTCTAGAAGAACCTTAAGTTACATTTAGTACAGGTTTTTTGTTTTGCTTTGCTTTGTGGCATGAGCCACCGATCTCTAGAAATTTCATGGAAGATACTAGAAGGGTACATATGAATTGAGAACAGTAAAACATGCTAATAAGTAAAGTTAAAAAGCACTGGTCTTATGAAAACATGGGTACCTGAGATGAATATATATTTCTCAGATAAAATATAAATGGCAAATAAATATATGTAAAAACGTTCAACATCTTTGATTGTTCAAGAAATGCAAATTAAAATAACACTGAGATTCTATTTCTCCCCAAAATGAATGGCTATCATCAAGAAGTCAACCAATAACAAATTCTAATAAAGCTGTGGGAAAAGAAATCCTTCAACACTTTTGGTGGGAGTGTAGACTGGTATAAGTGATATGGAAATCAGTGTGGAGATTCCTCAGAAAGCTAGGATTGTAGGTCCTTCTAGCTATTCCCCTCCTGGGTACTTTTCCAGTGATATATGCACACCCATGTCTAAAGCAGCACAATGTACGATAGCTAAATCTTGGAAACAACCCAAATGGCTATCACCTGCGGAATGGATAAAAAAAAATGTGTGGTTTTTTACACAATGGAGTATTACTCAGGTATAAAAAAGACAAACTCGAGGCTTTTATAGGTAAATGGATGCAACTAGAGACCATAATCATAAGTGAAATGAATCACACCTGCAAACATCATATTGTCTCCCTAGTGTAAGAACCTGAAAGAGTAAATAGAACTGGAAAGATACAATAGATTCTGTGAAAGGGAAAGAATCTGTCCAAAGGGAAGGAACAACTGGAATGAGGGGAAGGACAAAAGAGAGAAAGAAGAAAGGGAAAAGATATATTTATGTACATATGCAGGATAGCTTGGATAATTGTACTGTTGATTTCTGCTGGTCTATTGGAAGGAATAGTTAATGCTTAAATTTTTTAACTCTTTTAATTTCTTATATTTTTATAGATTTTTTTGCCAACTTTGTATGTTTATATCTGGTAATCTGAACTACTAATTTGAAGACAACAAAATGCAATATAACAACCAATATGTTGAATTCCTATTATTTTGTTTAAGGAAATTCTGTATCATTTCTATTTTTTTTTCTAGTTTTTATTCTCTTTAAAAAAATTTTAAAGGGCTCATAAAAGAGCATCGGTCGGGCTGGGGAGACAGTTCTGTGACATAAACCTGCCTGGCATGTGCAAGGTCCAGAGTTCAATCCCTGGTACTGCAAAAAAATGGTCTTTACTAATGGTAAATATTAAATTAATCTATGATTTCCCACCCAGCTCTTAGAGACTACTTTCCTCTCACAAGTATAGATCTATTCCATATCATTCCATTATGATCAGCAAAAACATTGTCTTTCTTTTTTAACTTCTATTTCTTTTTTATTATTAATTTTATTGAGAAACAAATACCAATGAGACAGTTTCAAAACCAACTAGTAGGACAGTTTCAATAATTAATACATTGCATATTGCTATCTTCTTAGTGGTTATTCATAGTACAAGATGCAGACATGGTATCCTGTCCAAATACTATTAGTACAAAGCTTTCTTCTCACTGAATTAAGAGAAAGAGCTGTGTATCTATCCTATTTTGTATATACACATACAAAATGGTCCTTCCTTTGTATCCCTTTTTTTGGTTTAGTTTTGTCAGAGATGGGTTTTCCATTGCCAAAAACATTGTCTTTCAACTGTAACTCGTTTGGTGAGATTTATATCTAGGAACTAAGAACAAAGAAGTTTATAATGTACATTTTGTTTTCTATAAATGTTGGGCCCACTTTATTTGTTTGATATTCATCATTAAATTCAATGTTTGTATTCACTGTCAAAACTATCAAACACGATAAAATTCAGTTTGTTTGTTTGTTTGTTTTGAGGTACCGGGGATTTAACTCAGGACCCTGCACTTGCCAGGCAGGCACTTTTTCTATTGAGCTATCTCCCCAGCCCTAAAATTCAGTTTTAATAAATTTATATAAAAATTATATAATCAAATATTTGGGCCCAAATTCTAAATGTATATTGTGTAAAAAACTTTTTTAAATAAATTTAAGAAAGGAGGAAGAGCTCATACTTTACTCTGATGTTCAGACCATTTTCAAGTTTTTTTTTTTTTTTTTGGTGGAACTGGGGATTGAACTCAGGTCCTTATGCTTGCCAGGGAAGCACATATTCTACTGAGCCATCTCCCCGGCCCATTTTCAAGCTCTTTTAATACTATAATAAAGACTGATTAATTTTAAAATCCAAGGAAACTATTAGATGGAAGAAAGAAGTGTTCAAGAGTGAGGATTCTGGAGGAGATAGTGTTAAATTTGTTCAATGAGGAGAATGCACATGTTAATGGTTATTCTTGCTAATATTATTTTTCAAATTTATAAACTTAGATCACAGACATTTTTTTTGCAAATTACCACACTTGTCTTTGTCAGATAATCATACGTAAAAGGTAAGTAATTTGTTGATTAAGCTAGGGGATTTATATCCTAAAAATTTATGTGATGCTACTTTAACTAACCATAAAGTAAACAGAAAAACTTGAGTTTTCCTGTGAAAATTTGATCAACTTCCCCCACACATCAGTATTTTGATTCTCCTTTTCCCAACGGTGATCCACCCTTCCTGCTGTATCTATTATCAGCTTCACCCACCCTTAATCATGTTTTCCTCACTAAAACCAGCTCAGATTAGATGCTTAGTCTGACTTCTGCTACAAAAGAAATACAGCTGCCAAGGTTGGTTGCCTCTTCCCCTACCTATTCACTCTCTGACATTAGGAAATAACAGCAATAAATATTTCCTCGGTCACACTCATGGCCAAGCAAAGGAAAATTTGCCAGAAAACTATGCACAGAAGTTATCCCTAGGGCTTCTAACACTTTAATATTGCATTTTGGTTTTTAGGAGCTAAATTTTATTATTACAAATACAATTACAGAGAAACAGAACATTTCTGATATATCATATAACATATTTCCTGTGTATAGCACACAAATAATACATAAATTAATTCCACAACTGAACAAAAGACTGGGCTGGAGAGATAGCTCAGTAGAATAAGTGCCTGCCTGGTGAGTGCAAGGTCCTGAGTCAAATCTCTGGTACCGAAAAAAAAAAAGGAAGAAAAAAGAGGAGGAGGAAAAGATGAGGAAGACTTTCTTTTTTGCTGTACTTGGACTGGCCAAGGGCCTTTGCACTGAGCTACATTCCCAGCCTTTAATTTATTTATTTATTTATTTATTTATTTATTTATTTATTTATTATCTTTTTGAAACAAGGTCTCATCCTGCATCTTAGGCAGGTTTCAAACCTGTAACAATCCCCCTGCCTCAGGCCTGAGCACTGAGACCAAAGGTGTGCACCACCACACCTGGCTTTTCAGTCTTTAAATACCTTAATATTATTACAAATAACAGCTGAAAGTACTTTTAAGATGAAGCACCATCTACTTCCTTCTATAGTCTACATACTAGTGGCTCAAAGACTGAAGCAAAAGAGGAAAAAAAAGAGTCTCAGCGATGAGAGATGCTAATAGCTTGAACTTAGTTGGTACCTAACCAGGCCTCATAGATACCAAACATCAAATAAACACTGAATGAATAGATGACCACAGCAAAGGAAAGAAGTGAATTTATTTGGGAGATACCCAGTAAGTAAAATTGAAAAGAGTTAGTGCTAGACTCAATTTGGGGTGTTAATTGGAAGGATGCTTCCAAACTGTCTATCTTGGGCAACTTACTAGATAGTGACTCACATGGTAGTGCCATAACAAACTGTGACAGAATTGGTGATTGCAACAACAAAATTTTTTTCTTACAGTTCCAGGGGCCAGGATATCTGTTTGAATCTGTTTCATGCATTCTAATTCTTTCCTGTATTGTTCATTCAGTGTTTCCATCGTTTTTCTATTCTCTATTTTTCTATGTTTTCTTTAACTGTGCTGAGCAATTCTTTCACAATTGTTCTTTCATTTTGGATCTGAGAGATGATTTCTGATCTTATTTCTTCTATAGCCTGATGGGGTTGTTTCTTTACTTCAGTTGCTATCATTTCAGAGATTTCAGGTGTGTGATTTTCAAGTCCTTATATGTCCTTGTCTCCTGGATTTGTTCTGGGTAGGCTAGAAGATTGAGATTGCCTTTTGCTACTGCATTGGCATTTTTGAAGCTCCCGGTAATCACCCAGATAGAATCCCATGGGCTGACCAGAGTTGGCCAAACAGGCCAGAAGTCCAAGATCAAGTTGTCAGCATGGTTGAATTCTGATAAGACATCTCTCTTCCTGGATTGTAGACCACTACCTTCTCTCTGTCTTAAAGTGATTCAGAAAGAGAACAAGCTCTCTAGCATCTCTTCTTATAAAGTCACTAATTCTCAGGAGGCCCTCATTCTTAGAACTTCATCAAACTATAGTCACTTCCCAAACACCCCATCTCCAAATGCCATCACCTTGAAAGGGTAAGGCTTCAACATATGGATTTGAGGAGGGTCCAAAATTCAGTCCATAACAAATTCATAGAATTGAATTAAGGACCACAAAGAAAGAATAAATTTGTGTATAAAGCAAATGTGTTCAAATTTAGTTTGGAATATATTGAAGTTTTATCTTAAAAACTTCTATCTCCCATGGGCACACTACTATATCCTTCTCAACACGGAGGCTTTTTTCCTCCATCCCTCTTACAGTTGAGCCTGGAGTTGGGGTAGGTGTCCTCTGGGCAGCTTTGCTCCCCATTAATGTTTCCAGGACTAGTGTTCCTCCCTTGTCAAGACAAATACCTAAGTGTAGTCACCCATTACCTCTCCTTATGCTGTGGTTCCCAAGTCACTCTCCCTTATTTTGAGGGTCATTGTCACTCTTTCCAGTACTACTCATCATAATTCCTGATGATTTTAAAACCTATGAAGGTGACACAACACTGTGATATCTCAGACACTTCATTACCTGTCTTCTGAGGATCTTCCTCTATGTCATCTCTCAGTTACCCCCTCCCATTGTTCAACCGTCATGTTGGTCATTGCATTATCTACAACCTTTGATATTATTTATTCAGGGTGTTGTGGGGGCCTGCTTCTGAGCTTTTCTGTCTTAACATAATATAATTTACAAAAAGTAAAATGCAACCATTTTAAGGGTATTCCTCAATGGCTTTTGACAAACTTACATGTACATGTAACCACTACTACAATCAAAATACAGAATATTTCCATCAGCTCAGATAGTTCTCTGTGACTCTCACACATTTCTTAACAGTTCCTTTGAAAAGCAGCTTTTAGCTTTAATAAATTCCTGGATTTTTATCTCTTCTCCCTTGCCTTCTTACCAGTTACACTGACTTTCTTTCAGTTTCTTACACATACTGTGGTAAAGCCTATTGCAAGGCCTTTGCACATGCTCTTATCCATGTTTAGAGTGCCCTCTTCGTGCCTACTCACCTAGGTAATTGTCACTCCTTTAAACTCTGCTCAAGTGACACTTTCTTCAGCAGAGGGCTTCCTTAATAGAGCTCACACTGATTTCTCTGTTACACACTCATTAAATACACCTCTTTCCTTCAAAGAAGTTATCTCTATTTTAAAATGAATTGGCTTAGGGATAATTTTATTTTAATATCTAATACATTAGTATGTATAATATATATTATACCAATACTGGTATATGTTAAACATATAATATATTCAGTGGATATTTATCAGGTAAATGAATGAATGCATGTACAGAGGATATACAGATATATATGTATAGATGATAGATAGATAGATAGATAGATAGATACAAAAGTTCCAAGCAGAAGAGTATTGTTGTTTTCAATTAATAGAAAAAAGATTTGCTTTTTAATGAATGGCATGACTATTTACTATTTGTAAAACAAACACAAACAGTTAAAAATACTAAATCAGGAGTCCCAGTACACATCTCACATCGAAAATAAATTCCAAGTACATTAAACAAATCCAAAAATGAAGCCACAATGATACCAGTGGAAAACATGATAGGTCTTTACAGAAAAAACAAAATAATAAAATAAAGTTAAAAATTAGCTTTAAAAAAAAAAACAAGATTCAGCTGGCCAAACAGCTCAGCGGATTAAAGTGCCTGCAAGCATGTGCAGGGGCCGGGAGTTCCATCCCCGGGCCTGCCATGCCGGCCACACCCCCCCAGGGGGTGCACTGAGATGGCAAGTGAGACTGGGCATAGTGTTGCGCACCTGTAATCCCAGCTCCTGGGAGTCTGTAAACAGGCAGATCACTATGAGTCCGATCTAGGAGTGAGACCCTGAACACCCTGTAGACTCTTCCCTAAAATTAAAAAAAATGATAATAAAAAGAAATTTTAAAAAACAAGATTAAAAATGAGCTTTTGATAAACTTAATTTATCTAAGCAGATCAGAAAAACCAAACTGCATAGAGGAAAAGAATGATGGACTTTATGTAAGTTTAATTAATTAATTAATTTTTTGTGGTACTGGGGATTGAACTCGGGACCTTGTGCATGCCAGGCAGGCATTTATGCTGCTGAGCTGTGTCCCTGGCCCCTGTAAGCTTAATTTAAATGGCATGTTTTTAAAAATACATGTAACAGGTCACAAAATTTAATGCCTTTAGTATATATGTTTTTCCAAGTCAATAAAAGAAAATCATCCTCTTAATAGAAAAATGAGAAATAGTCATGATAAGTAACTTTTACAAGAGGGAAATCAAATTATCAATAGATATATAGAAAAAATTTCAGGAAGAAAATTTGACAAGCTAAATCATAACAGAAAGTATGAATAATCTTTACTCAGAGTTCTCATTTTAAAGATTAGCATAAAAGATGTAATCTCAGAAGTGCTATGTTATATGGCCAGAAATTTTTGTTACTAACGTATTTAGAGTACTAAAACTTTTACAATATCCTAAATTTCTATCAACCAGAAAATAGTTGTATAAATTTTGAAAATATTAAAAAGTTATCATGTGCATATATCACCTGTAATTTTATATATAATGGGATTGATTATCTTTCTTTGCCCATAGATTAAGAACTTCTTTTGCGTGTGTGTGTGTGTGTGTGTGTCTTTTGAGACAGGGTCTCACTATGGAGTTCAGGCTGGCCTTAAGCTCATTCTGTAGCCCAGGCTGGTCTTGAACTCACAACGATCCACCTGCCTCAGCCTCCCAAGTGCTGAGATTACAGGGGTGCGCCAACATACCTGGTAAGAACTTCTAATTTTGCCTCCAGAAACTAGTTTATTTCCCTATAGGAATTCAAAATATACTTTAACAAATACATAGATTGAGATTTTGCTTTACTGTACAGGCTGGAAGTGATGGTGAAAGCATTGGAAACTGTCCCTTTTGCCAACGCCTTTTCATGATCCTCTGGCTTAAAGGAGTTAAGTTTAATGTGACCACTGTTGACATGACCAGGTAAGATAAATCAGAACATGTTAAATTCTGGAACTTCAGATGAAATTGAATGAATGAATTGACAGTGAATTGAATGTTGATATTTGTATGATAATGTACTTTTCTCTCCTTTTAAAATTAATTTTATTTGTATATTTTAGATATATATAATGATCACATTCATCTAAGGAATTTGTACCTGTACATGATATATTTTGATCTTTCTTTTTCTCCAACCCCTCCCCTTCTTTCCACCCCTCTTCCCTTCCTAATTTATAAAAGCTTTGGTTTTTGTTATTAATTTTATTGAGAAACAAATAGCAATGAGACAGTTTCAAAATCGATTAGTAGGACAGTTTCAATAATTAATACACTTCATATTGTTACAAAAGCTTTGTTTCCATGTTTTCCTTCTGTTCTCTTTTTTTCTTTTCCCTTCCTTTCTTTCCTCTCCCATCTGTCTTGTTTCTCTTCACATTTGAGGGGAACTGCCCGTTCGGGCCCCCCCTCCTTTCCCTCTGTTGGGACAGGAGCTTTCTTTCTCTAATAAATATATTCTGCTCATAACCTCCGTTTGTTCCTAAAATTCATTCTTCGGTGTTAGAAAACACGAACTCGTGCAGGTCAGGTCCAGAGATCGTTTTTCTCTATGCCATTTGGAGGTTCTTCACATTTGAACATTTTCTCACCATTTTCCAGTATCTATTGTATATTTTGGCTCATATTCCCACTTTCATATTTTTTTGCCTGTAAGAGACTTTTTTAAAGATTAATTTTATTGAGAAAAAAAATTGCAATGTGACAGATTCAAAATAGGTTGGTAGGAGAGTTACAACAACTAATACATTGCATATTGTTGTCTTTGTAGTAGTCATTCATAGCACAAGATGCAGACGTGATCTCCTGTCCAAACACTATTACTACAGATCTTTCTTCTTATTGAATTAAGAGAAAATAGCTGTATATCTATCCTATTTTGTATATACAGATACAAAATGGTCTTTCATTTATATCACCTTTTTTTGTTCAGTTTTGTCAGAGAAGGGTATTCCACTGCCATCCAAATATTGTAGGTGCATGAATTCAGCAAAATATTCCAATATAGTCCAGTAGTCCACAATAGTAGTGGATTATCCGCAGGACTGGCAATGTCTGATGACTTGAGCCTTCCAGAGCTCAGCAGATTAACATGGCCTCACTTTTCATACCTCATTTCTACACTTTTCTGCTGGATGGTTAAGACCAAGATAAAGCAAGACCTATATAACAAGAAATGTAACTTTTGTATCTGACACGGTCAGTCAAGTCCCCTCAGGACTTATCCTGAAACCCTGTACCGCACTTTGTAGATCCATTGTCAGTGTCAGCCATGTCACACTTTCATTTTTTTATGCAATGGAGTACTACTCTGTCACAAAGAAGGATAAGCTTGAGGCATTTCTAGGTAAATGGATATAACTTGAAGCCATCTTCTTAAGTGAAATAAACAGAACATACATGTTTAAATTTTAATCAGTGTTTCTCTGGTAAATGATGTCTACTTTATCTTAGAGGCCTAACTGTTTATTTTCAATAATCATAGAAAGCCTGAAGAGCTGAAGGACTTAGCCCCAGGCACCAATCCTCCCTTCCTGGTGTATAACAAGGAACTGAAAACTGACTTCATTAAAATTGAAGAGTTTCTAGAGCAGACACTAGCTCCTCCAAGGTACAGCATTTTATAGGATATTATTATATGTAAGATAATCTATTTTATTGGTCTATTTATAGGAGGTTGAAGATTCTAGCTAATTTCAAAATGCTTTGGAATTTGGGGGTCTACATGTCAAATAAGACACATGCATAGAACTTGCTTTCCAATTTCAAATATGCAAAGATGGTAGACATATTTCAAATGATTTTTAAAATGCATAGCATACTTTAAGGCAAGAAGGTAAATTCTCTGTGCTCTTGAGATAAAGAAAGAACTCACAGTGGGGTAATGAATGTACTGACACTATAACTCAGTAGGACTGGGCCTTAACACCACTGCTTGAGTGAAGATAGAACATAGCACACACAGGCACTAGAGGCCAGGAAATAAATTTCAAGCACTTAGTCAGAGGCCAGAATTGCACTGTGTATACTTGAAGGACAAATATATGATCTGACACCCACTCCCAGAATTGTGTTTAGAAAGAAAAGGCACGCTATATTTAATTTTTATTTCTGTGCAACAAATTACCACTAACTTAAAACAACTCTCTTTTATTACCTCAAGGATTCCATTGATCAGGAGTCTGCGCATGGCTTACTAGGGCCTTCTGCTCAGAGTCTCACAGAGTAAAGCTGCAATCACATTATTGGTCAGTTCTCACCTGGGGTCCAGGATTTTCTTCCATGTTTATCCAAGAATTTGGCAGAATTCAACTTCTTGCAGAAATCTGAATAGGGTTTTGGGTTTGCTTTGCTGTTGATTGGGTTCAGCTTTGATTTCCTGGACGCTGACCCTCTGCACTGGCTGTTCAGAACATGGCTGTTTAGTTTTTTCCTCAGAAACCAGCATAAGAATGTGGCTTGGATGCTTACCTGAATAGGTCATGTCTACCCAGGGTAATGTCTCATTTGATTAACTCCAAGTGAACTGATTGCTCACCTATCATAGCTATGGTATCCTAGCACATACATAGGCTTCTCCCATGCTCCATGGTAGGGCATTAAATAGGTTAGATATATTGGGGTGGGAATTTGGAGGCCTTTTATTATTTTTTATTCTAGAGAGAAAAAACACTATAAACAATGATATAAAATTTCAAACCACAATGGAAGGAGAGTAACGGTGATTAGTACATCACTCATTGATATCTTCAAAGTAGTTGCTCAGATTACAAGATATAGGCATGAAAATTGATTAACTTTTCTTTTCAATGAACTAATAGAATTAGTAGTATATTTAATAAATATATAGTTACGTTTACTTTTCCATTCCTTCTTTTCTCCTTTTTCCCACCTCAGTTTCTCTTTCCATTTGAACAGTTTCTTTACATTTCTCAATATCTATTATACATTCTAAGCATAGATACAGAATTTGGAGGACATTTTAGAAACCATGCAAGAGAGGGTACCAAGACTACTCTCTTCATTCTTAATATTTTTTAATTTTCTTTTTCTGTCCATGAATTATTTTACTTATTTTACATTTATGAAACTGTTTCAAATATTCTTTTTCTAAAATTCAAAATGTATGGAAGATATATATTTTTTGAATTGACTTCTAATTCTCTTCCATGATTGGAGAATTCTTTTCTAGCTAAAAGCACACTGCTATAATATGCTTATAGTTGTAATTTGCCTAAACTATAATATTCTATTTTTTTCAGTCTTTCTAAAACACATTGTATGTTAATAGGGTTCAAAAAAAACCACATTGTTTTAACCATGGCCCTGTGGCTAGCATATAACAGCAGAGAATTACTGATGGGGTGCAACAAACCAGAGAAACTTCTGGTGGAGCCTTTGTGGTCCTCCTTAAGCACATGGCCAGCTTTCCCATTAAAACATCTGCCAGACTATAAGGCTGATCAAGTAAATGGAAAAAATACTACACACAAAAACTCTGAAAACTAACAAGCTTTCCATGGCCCACTGAGACAAAATTTGAGTTTAGAACCTTCCAGAGTGAGAGATCCCTGAATAATCCAGACAGATGAAAATCCTAGAAGACCAAGGATAAATCAGTTTACAATAAGCCTTGGCTCAGCACAACTTCTGATTCCAGTTAAAAGCCTCTACTCTCACTTCCAAGCAAATAAACAGATGTGCCCTCTGGATAATTTTGAGCCACTATAATTTTTATGGTTATTCAAGAAAGTAGAAAAAGTAAAATATAGGACCATATGATAAAAAGTTTTTAAAAAGACAATAGAACTAATCCAGCAAGTGATTCAGATATCAGAATTAGCTAAAAAGAATTTTCTGACAACTTATTGATATGTTCAAAGAAATAGAGAAAAACAGGGAGAAAATATATGTAAATACAGAGAATTTCACAAAAGAACTGAAATTTTATAACTGAAAAAAGAAATGCTTATAAAACTAAGAATTTATAGCCTGGGTTTAATATCACACAAAGCATTGTATAAGACATACATAATGAACTGTAAGATAGGCATGTTAGGAAATACATAAATTGACAAAAGGAGAACAAAATTAACAAAAATATATGAAAGAACATTTAGAGACATATGGGATGCAGAGAAAATTCTAACATATGTATAATTACAGTTCCAGAATGGTCCAAGTTTCACAATATTTGTTACCCTTTAACTTTTTAAATAGTAGCCAGAAATGTAACAATTGTAAGGTGTTGTTTCACTGTACTTTTAATTTGTACTTTTATATTGATCAGAGACATTGAACATTTTTCATACACACACACACACACACACACACACACACACACAGAGAGAGAGAGAGAGAGAGAGAGAGAGAGAGAGAGAGAGAGAGAATAGAGATTTCTTTAGCCTGTAGTTCTGGTGGTTGGGAACTCCAAGAACATGGCATCAACATCTGGTCAGCATCTGGTGAGGGCCTTTGTGCTGACTGATGAAAAGGGAGATGGCATCACATGGCAAGACAAAGAACCCTAGCTCAGGTCTCTACTCTTTTCAATATAGAAACCGCTAGTCCCATCAGATTTAGGACAAAACCGTCATGACCTTGTTCAATCTTGTTTACTTCCTAAAGGTCCCACCTCCAAATGCTATTGTTGGCTTAAGTTTTTACCACCTACTACCTCGCAATGGGCATTAAATTTCAATATGAGCTTTTGTGGAGACATTCAAACCACAAAAAACTCATTCACTTTGTTTTCTAGAAAATTATCTCTCCTTCATTTCTGAAGGATGGCTTTGCTGAGTATTCTTTATTGGCAGGATGTTTGTTTTAACACTTCCTCATTCTGTTCTCTCCTGGCTTGCTGAAAAAAACTGCTGATAAAGACATATTTGAGCTCTCTTGCATGCAATGCATTTCTTTTGCTGCTTTCATAATCTTGTCTTTTATACTTTAATTTGATTATATGCCTCAGTATAGGTTTCTTTAGATTTTTTTGTTATTTTTTGAAGATAGTGTCTCCCTCAGTAGGTCTTGCACTCACTATTAGCTCAGCTGACCTTGATGTTCTTGAAATCATATTTCATGCTAGGGTTACCATGACAGGTTAGTCTTTAGATTTAACATGATAAGACATTTTTAAGATTCTTGTACCTGAATTTTTACAATTTCCCCAGATTTTAGAACTTTTAACCATTAGGTCTTGTTTTTTTTTTTTTT